CCTGCCTCAGCCTCCTGAGTAGCTGGGACTACAGGCATGCGTCACCATGCCCAGCTAATTTTTTGTATTTTTAGTAGAGACGGGGTTTCACCATGTTGACCAGGATGATCTCGATCTCTTGACCTTGTGATCCACCCGCTTCGGCCTCCCAAAGTGCTGGGATTACAGGCTTGAGCCACCGCGCCCGGCAGGAATCACATCTCAAACCGTGCACCAGGTCCTGAATTCCCTTAGGGTCTCATCTTTAGAGGTCCGTCTAGGCATACCCACCCAAGCCATTCTTTGACTGCTGGCTGGCCTTCCTTTATAACAAGGTGTTCCACAGTCCATTTATATATGGATGTCACCTGTGCCTACTCTGCTGCCAGTTTGGTTTTTCCCACTTCTGGGGTGTAAGGCAAGATGAAACATATCACATCCCATTCTAAACGTTATTCTTGGCCAGGGGTTAGCAAACTTTTTCTGTAAAGGGTCAGACCATAAACATCTTAGGCTTTACAGACCAAGAAGCAAATTTCAAATATTATGTCGGTATTTGTAAAGTAAAATAAAATAAAAATTTCCAAAATTATTTAATTGATGAAACTCAAAATGTAATAATAATAATTGAAGGCAGTTTTTTGTGGTCTAGGTTTAATAATGAGAAGAATAGAATCATTTTTGGGGGTGATAACATTTTGCTTAATTGGAATTTAAAGTTAGTGTTCTTTATCATCAATTCCATTGCCAATGTTCATCTAAAAACATTTTCACTGGCCAGACACAGTGGCTCATGCCTGTAATCCCAACCCTTTGGGAGGCCGAGGCTGGTGGATCGCGAGGTCAGGAGTTCAAGATGGTGAAACCCCATCTCTACTAAAACTACAAAAATTAGCCAGGCGTGGTGGTGTGTGCCTGTAATCCCAGCTACTTAGGAGGCTGAGACAGAGACTTGCTTGAACCTGGGAGGCAGAGGTTGCAGTGAGCCAAGATCGAGCCACTGCACTCCAGCCTGGGCGACAGAGTGAGACTCCCTCTCGAAAAAGAAAAAAAAAAAAAAGTTTTCACCTCTGGGCTGGATTTGGTTCAAAGGCTGCAGTTTGCTGACCTCTGCTCTTAAACATTTTGAGGCCCTTGCTCTTGAAACATAAAATTGAATCCCTTTATCAGACTAAATCGAGAAGATTAAATTTCCCAACATCATGAATGCTCAGCCATTGACTCACTCATTCACACAATGAATACTCATTGAGCTTATACTATATGCCAGGTGCTAGGGGAGGCGCAGGGGCACCCAAGAGAAAGATGCTCACTTTGTGGCCACAGCCCGGTGGGCAGGAGACCCACACCTACCTGTGTTGTCTCAGAAACATGTGGAAGAAAGACAAAGCCATGCTCACATTATTCACCTACATCTGTGAATTATACAAGGAAAATGAGTTTCAGAAATCCTAAGTTCAGTACAAATTTATAGTAACTTTTTTTTAAAAAAGAATACGCTAAAGTTTTCTTAGTGAATGGAAAAATGTTCCCATTTTCTCCCCTGCACACACAAATACACAAAAACAAAAATTCACCATATGTGTCTGACTTGGGTTGTATTTAAACCATTTTATAAATGACTTTTCCCCCAACTTCAGCTTCATAGTTTTAAAGCACAGTCAATAAATGATTTGGCAACAGCTAAGAAATCACAAGTTCCCTTCTTTTCATGTAAACTTCTGTAAAACACACGCTAGGTTCTGCTGATGGTAAATAGGCCCATTTCAGGAAGTTAGCCAGTTTCTCTTCTCAGCCACCTCCTGCATAGAGGGTATCCATTCTGCGCTGCTGCAAGTTGCAGAATGAAAAATTAGAAAGAACCACAGAAACACGGTAAGTCACTTATATTTCTTTAGCAAAGCTTTCCAACAGAATATGGGATTTCTAACCCAGAAATCTGGGTTGGCGGCAAATGGTGTGAACCAAGAAAGTAATACATGGGCAAATAAGGATGAAAATTAAAGACTGAAACAACTCTAAATGGAGATAAAGCGGCTTGCTATGAACTTTAATTTGTGTGTATGTTAGTATAAGGAACTTAGAGAGTAAATTTTGAAAATCAAATGCAGTGATGATCTTACTAATTTGAACAGGAAAAGAAGAAAATTCCAAGTTAGAAATTGAACTGGAAATATTACTTACTGGCCCTACCAGAGACAGTAATCTCTTCCAGAACAACAGGATTGGATGAGAAGGTGAAGGAAATATTTTTGCTTTGCTGTTTCTGTAGAAAAGGACAAACTCTCTTCCTTCACATACATAGGTCAATTGCGAGAGCCTAGTGAAGCCTGGGCTTAACATAATAACATGCTACAATTTCTGTAATTATTACTTTACACTGTCTAGACATAGCAGGTGGTCCTTTTTTTTGTTGTGAAGAACTGTCAGACTAAAAACAAACTTTACACTTCTTTTTAAATGACATATTTTCTAGAAAATTCAATGAGATTTAAGAGCCATTGAAAAGTCTGATTTCAAGAGAGTCTCATCCAAAATGTTCCATATATTTTTCCCCAAAGTCCTTGGAGTCAATTTTGACAACAATTTAATGTACACTGAGGTTTTCTGAATTTTTTTTTTTTTTTTTTGAGACGGAGTCTTGCTCTGTCACCAAGGCTGGAGTGCAGTGGTGCAATCTCGGTTTACTGCAACCTCTGCCTCCTGGGTTCAAGCGATTCTCCTGCCTCAGCCTCCCAAGTAGCTGGGGCTACAGGTGCGTACCATCATGCCCAGCTAATTTTTGTATTTTTAGTAGAAACTGGGTTTCACCATGTTAGCTGGGCTGGCTGACCTCAGGCGATCCACCCGCCTCAGCCTCCCAAAGTGCTAGGATCAGAGGTGTGAGCCACCGCGTCTCGCCTGAAGTTAATTTTTATATCTACCTGAAGTTAATTTTTATATCCATAATGTTCATTATGGATCTTGAAGGTAAATTAATTCTGCACTAAAATTTTAAGATGCTTTACAAAATGACTCTAGGTGGCCCATATGGAATTAGGTCATCTGGACCAATGACACATATGGGATTGCAGTTGAAATTATCCAATTTCTACTTGTTATTTGTAAGCTGCTGTGATAGGCAGTATAACTGTACTGTAAGAAAGTGGTAAACAGGTGGGGCCCGGTGGCTCACCCCCGTAATCTCAGCGCTTTGGGAGGCCGAGGTGGACACGTCACTTGAGGTCAGGAGGTCGAGACCAGCCCAGCCAACATGGTGAAACCCAGTCTCTATTAAAAATACAAACATTTAGCCAGGTGTGGTGGCATGCACCTGTAGTCCCAGGTACACAGGAGGCTGAGGCATGAGAATCACTTCAACCTGGGAGGCAGAGTTTGCAGTGAGCAGAGATCGCGCCACTGCACTCCAGCC